AAAAGTATATACAAAAGTAAATTATATTATATTTATTCGCTTATATATTATATGTATTTTCATAAGAGAAGAAATGAAGAGTTTGACCTGATTTTGCGAAATGTTAGTGAAAGTGCAGTCCATATACTATAAGATCTTTATGTCTGTCATAAAGCGAACCAAACCTGAATTTAAAGTACAATTTGTGTTACAAAACTTGGTTTGCTTTCGCATTGCATACCATTTCCGTGTGTACTTTGAGGTCATGTCTAGTTTTCTATTGAATAATCAGTTTTGAATGTTTGAAACTTTTTTGACAACTTTCGTGCATATTTTTTATAATTTAGTAGAACTTATAGTTTCTGTTTAAAAGAGTTAATGCAAATATAATATTTTTTAAAGTGGTAGATTTTTAAGAATATAGATATAAGACACTACTATATTAAAATCTTTATATACTCACTAACTAGTAATATTATTATTACTATATATCAATATTAAGTACTGATAAGTAGCAAAAATGCATTTTAACCAAGATTGGAGACAAAGAAATCCTGAAATTGGGATTTAGTTGCTTATAAAGCAGTTTCCAATGCCATACTTTGTTGACCGTTTGACTTGAAAAATGAATTCAGAGTAAAACTTAAGCAAAAAGTTTGGGTCAATTAATGAGGAAATATTTACACAAATTCTCCATTTTTGTGTTTTGAATATGAGGTAAATCTATGGATCTGACAGATATTATAGACATTTCATTAGTTTATGACTTCTGTAAATCAACGAAAGAGTGAAACACAAATTCAGTAGTGATTTGTGACTCCAATGGAGTTATTTCCAGATCTCAATAAACTGATAGAAAATTATCCACAATTACTGCCAAACCATCACATTATTAACGAAAGTGAAAGTGATGTCGAGTTTGTGATTATATTATATTTGATTCTTGAATATACGAGAAATGTTTTAAAGTGTACTCTATTTTAAGCCCATTTTCACAGTTATATTTAAACAGTTATTTGCCTTCAAATGATTGGCATTTAGTGAACGAATGGATGTTTAAAAGTAAAATCATTTAATTTATTATTTTAACATTTTATTTAAATATAAAAGTATTACAAAACGCTTTTTCGTGCTTAAAACCAATTACTGTAATCCATAACAGATTTTTTGAATCTTTATTTATTATTTCTTTTGACTAATACTATTAATAAATTGTATTAAATAGAGTTAATATAAATAATGAAATTTATTTATTCTATGATTTAATAGTTATTTTACAATAAGGAACTCATTTTATTATTATTTACACAACTCGTTAAGAAATTTTTAACTAAAAACAAATGTCATATCATCTTAAATACATTTAATTATTATACAAAGAATATTATGAACAAAAGTACAAGTTTTACATATTTATAACTTAAATTACATGAGATTTTATTTGGTGTTGTATTAAATTTTTAATATGATTTAAAATCTTATAATGATTTCCTGCAATTATAAAATTCTCAGTCTTTGTCCTTAATATAAATCGTGATTAATTCATATAAAACTTGATTTTTTGTTTAATAAAGATTCATATGTTTCCCCAAATCGTTGGTCTTTTTTAGGTGAGACTATATTTAGACATTCATTACTTTATTAATACATTTCTTATAATCTTATAGTGAAGTCATTTGCGAAGATTTGATGGCAAGATTTGGCACACAGTCTTCACTTTAAGATCAATATTTCCTCTTCGCGGGGATTCACACAATACACACACATATTATGCCTATAATTATAAACAAGTTCTTTTTTGTGGCCAAAACTATTCTAAATAAATATTTTGAAAAATAATTTGTGTTTAAATAAAATAAAAATTTTATACAATTTTTTCATCAATATTTATCTCAAAGAAGACTTTTCTTGAGTTGAGAGTCACACAACTGTGCGCTCACTTTCCATAACTCTTTTCTAAGGCAACTGTTGTCCGCCAATGGATTGCATTTGGCTTTCTTACAGTCCGTGAAGTATTGGCCACTAATTCCTTCCACTTCTTCGGAGACCGACAAATAGATGAGTGTTTGGGCGCCTTCTGTGAGGCTCTTGTTGTACAGAAAGCTCAAGAATGTGAGGAAGAGTTTGATGTACCAAATCTTATTATGTCGGATACCATTGGTATATATGGTTCCCGGATGTAATGCATTCACACAAACGCCACTGTTCTCCAGCCGTTCGCTCAACTCTTTCATAAACATAATGTTCGCTAACTTTGTGTTACAATAGGCGACGAACGGGTGGTTAACATATTTGTCGAATCGGATTATATTCTCCAAATCCATGGCTCCCAACAGATGAGCCGACGACGAGGTGATGACAATACGCGCGTTTGGCGTACACTTCATCAGATCCAGCAGTTGGTTAACCATAAGGAAGTGCCCCAAATGGTTGGTCGCGAACTGCATCTCCACTCCGTCTTCGGTGAGATGGCGGCCAAAGGGAGCGCCAGAGCCCGCGAAACAGACCAACACATCGAGTCTGTCCTCGGAGTCGATAACATCGGCGCAAAACATACGCACGGATTGCAGTGAACTCACATCACATCTCTTGACGTATATATTGGTATTTCCTGTCGTCTCAATCACATCACTGATCGCTTCTCTGCCCCTTTCGACCGAACGGCAGCCGAGAATTATTTTGGCATTTCTTTTGGCCAAATCTCGCACTAATTCCTTCCCAATCCCGGTATTACCGCCCGTCACTATCACTACTTTTCCGCTCATATCCCTCTCACTCTTACAGACACCACAAGTCATGCGAAAATATAGCCGAAGCATAAAAATCGAGACCATCAGCAAAAATAACAATAAAACAAATATTACTAAAACCACATAAAAGGCCATTTCTGATGGAAAAACACACAATTATTTATTTTATTTCGCGGTATATATTATATAATAAGTGAATGAAAGACTGGTTATTCCGTATCGACGAAAACGAAAGTAATGCCAAAACTATTTTTGCGAATTTGCAAATATATATAAGAGTGACCTATTATTTCAATTGCTTTTACCTCCGGATCTGCTTATCTAACCTGTTGTTCAACATTTCCTGGTTTTCCACTTTTGATTCTTCATTTAATGAGATTTATATTTTAGCACTAAATTCACTGTTAATATCAGCATTTAATCTCATTTTTACAAATGATAACAATTATCATTATCTCAATACATTCAAAGAATTTTAATGTGAATTAAATTTTTAAAACTAATATCAATTGTAGCCTAATTTTCAGATTGTTTAATATTCTGTCTAATCTTAATTAAATTTGTAATCAACAAAAGGAAATTTATTAAATATTTGGCATAATATGACATTATTGCTTTAAGGTTTTTACAAATCAATTAGTTACTATTTTTATTACAATATATATTACTGTTAGATTAAAATGGTTAAATAACACACTTTAAAATTGTCAATACTGTTATAATTTGTAATGAATATATTTCAGTTGTAATTAAAACTCAATTTGAGTGCTAATTTCTCTTTAGTTACAATTATGTTATAAAATTAATATTAATTTGCACTAAATATTTATCATTAATTTCCAAATTATAAATATTTTTATGCAATACAGAGTATAATATACAGTATTATAATATAATATATGAAAATATTATATGAAAAATGACAGTAATGTAAACTATATAATATAATTTATGGACTACAAAGTTGATTATTTATTATTATTTTTCAAATTTTTAAAATAATTTTGTTAAAAATTATAGTACCAGTAAAATTTACTGACAAATGAATATAATATTAAAATTAAAAACTACATAAAATTTACTTTTTATTTTATTTTATGTAATGTATAGAATCATCAAATCAATTGAACTTTGGAATTAAAATCTATCATTTATAAATTATTAATATACGATTGTATAAATACAATGTATTTATTTTAAAAACAACTTTAAAAGTAGCTAAAGTAGTGTTTAAGATAAAAAGTTTACGTATTGTTTGTTAACTGTATTTGTTATAAAATTAATCAATTATAAATAAAAGTGTTTATAATATGAAGGTTACTGATATGATATACTAAAGTGTCAAACAATATTTATATAATATTATTTTAATACTAATTAACAAGTAATTAAGTAATAATCTATTGTATATCACATAATTCTTTCTAAATTAGATTGTAGTTATATGATTAGATGTATATTATAATATTATATCCATATAATTATTTTAATGTTTTTAAGAATTATCTTGGAATTAATTTTAAATATATTTTTTAACTTTTAATGTAATATTTAAAATTAATTTATCAATCGATAACCACACGATATTTTCTTTTGTTATTATATAAACATCAATCATTACATATATATCGGAAATTAACTTATAAAATGTCATTTTAAAGCAATTAAAATAAGTGTTAAAACGAGTAGAAAAGTCAAAAGTTATTAATAAAACGTGAAAATAATTAGTTTCTTTGCAAACATAAGTTTGAGACATAATATTGTGTCAGTTTATATGTATAACAAGTTCCTATTTAATCATTAATGTGTTCAAACATGTTTGAAATGTGTTCAAACATTGCTTAACATAATTAAAAATACAATATTTGGTTAATATTTCTGTCAATTAATTGACAA